GCCCCCACCGACCACTGGGGCCCCGTCTTTCGGAAGAAGTCTTGGGATGCTGATGCTGCTCGCCCCTGCCTCCAACGTCTCCTACCGCGTGCTGGCGACCTGCACCTGCCCCCGCCCTCTCGTGCCATGCTTCGCGCTGCTATGCGAGGAGCTCAACATTCGGCCCCAGGACCTGATGCCCTGCCCTTTGCTGCGTGGCAAGCCCACCCATTCGGGGAGGTGGTTCTCTGGGATGCTCTTGAGTGGGTCGCGGACGGCCAGTTCCTGTTCGCCTCAGCCTCGGACACGATTCAGATCTGCTTGCCGAAAAACGTCACCGACACTGAGTTGCAGTCGGGGGGCTGCGAGCGGGCCCCAGACAAGGTGCGTGTCCTCGGTCTTAGGAATTGCGATGTCAAGCTCATCTCCGCCACGATGAACCGCGCTGTCCGACCCGCCCTGGACCTCATCCCCTCCTGCCAGCGCGGATTCATACCGCGCCGCAACTTCGGTGAGAACATCATCGAACTCGACGCCTCGGCCAGGATGCTCTTGGTCACCCCCGACGGCTCCCAGGACGTCCCGCTCTTGTACTCTCTGGACTTCGGCCAGGCCTTCCCGTCATTGAATCAGGAATGTATGGCCTTCGGGTTTTCGAGCTACCTGATCGCTTCCTCGACTTCGTCGCGTTTCTGTATGCGTCCATCGACGGGGTGGCCCTGGTCCAGGGGGTTCTTACGCATGTCTACTGGATAGACAGCGGCATCATACAGGGCTGCGCCCTTTCTGGTTCCTTATTTGCTTTCAGCGCTGCAGCTTTCCTCATCGAGCTGGCCCAGCTGATTGAGCACCCCCGCATCGGCCTCGTGCGAGCCTGCGCGGACGATATCGGTGGCACGCTCTCGTCGGCCGCTGACCTCGTTCGAGTTTTCGGGGTGATGTCCAAGGCCTCCGTTATGGCCAACCTCGTTCTGAAGGTGAGCAAGTGCAAGGTTGTTCCTCTCTGTGGACCGTTTACGCCTGAGCTTGCCGCCCGAGTCCTCCATGAGCTCTCCCGCTGGGTCCCCGACTGGTCCTCTTTCGAAGTGGTTGCGTGCCTGCTCGATTTGGGAATCTGGCTGGGGCCTGGGGCCGATGCAGAGCGCTGCTGGATCGAACCGCTCACGAAATTGCGTTTACGGGCTCAAGCATTTGGCCAGGGCACCACCCCAGCCAGCCAGTCGGCCTTGCTGTACAACACACGGGCCGTCACCACTCTCTCTTACGTTGCGCAGTTCTCTTGGATTCCCCGGTCGATCCTACAGCCAGAACTTGCTGTCCCTGCACAAGTATTTCGACTTCCCCTTGGCACCTTCGGCCTCGACCTCTGGGTGCAGCTGGGGCGCTGGGGAGGCCCGAATATCATTCGGTGGGCGCGCCTGGCGGTGGCCTCTATCACCCGTGCCGCGTTGCTCACATACCCCTGCTGGGAGCCCATCCTGTGCCGCATGCGCGAGCATGGTGTCATGAGGGACACCGACGTGACGCTTGACATGCTCCTGCCGCACCGTCTGTGCCCGGGCTTCTGGCAGACCCCTGCGCTGGCCGAGAACCTGGCGGCGGTTGCCCTCGGGCAGGCTCCTGCGGGCTCTGGTCTGGATGCTCTGCTGGCGGCCGCTCTTCCCGCTGCTCGCGCTGCCCTGGCTCCTGCTCCTGGCCAACGCCCTCGCCCTCAGCGTGCTGCCCATCTTGCGCTCCGAGTGCAGTCGCGGGAGGCTCGCCCACTTCGTGATATGGTGCTTCGCCGTCTACAGAAGTTTGCTGGCCGCTCGAGGCACCGCCTCGGCATGATTGACTGGGACAGCTGTGTACTTACCCTGATGCGTTGTCCGTGCTCTTGGGCGTGGGCTGCATTGCGTACCCGGTGCGACGGATGGATGACGGCGGCGAGGATCATTTCTCCACATGGCCAACGGCACTGCGCTTTCGGCTGCGAGCACCGTATCGATTCTCTTCGACACTACGCGCGTTGCCCGATCATGTACCGTGCTCTCAGGCGTGATTTGGCTCGCCCTATTCCGCTGGACTGGGTCTCGCGCTGGGGCCTGGCAGCCCCCTCGTTCGCCTCGTTCTCTGCGCTCACGGCCGCCTACAACATGTACAGTGAGGCCCGCGCCCTCCCTGACTGGCCGCTGTCCGCGGCGCAGACACGCGCTTGTGCGTTGGCAGGGGCGCGTGCGATGCGCCTTGCGCACCCGACTCGCATCGCCGAGGCGGAGCGCACCACGCTCGTGCCTCAATGGCCCCATCGAGTGGCGAGCTCCTCGGATTCCTCTTCCAGCTCGTCGACCTCCTCGGCTACTGTGGCGACGGCTTCGTGGAGGGCTCGACTGGCTTCGACAGCGGAGGACTCCGACTCCAGCTCCCCGCCGCCACCCCGCCCTCGGATATGCGTTGCGCAACGCCCTGGTCACCCTGATAGCCCTCAGCTCACGCCGCTGGTCTCGCCAGCTACCCCTTCGCCCCGCGCACGGGTGCCCTCGGAGGAGGAGAGCTCTGATGGCCTGGTCATGCTGGACTTCCGCCCTCAGGCACCGCCGACGCCCGCCACGCTGATCGCGACGCCCGAACGCGTCGGTCGTCTGGAGGACCTACTTGACGATGGTGGCGCACCCCCACACGGGAAGAGACGCTCGTGTTCATCCGACTCGAGCGGCTCTTCGGCGGGTGATGTCAGAACGCTAAGTCCTGGCAGTGGGTGTTCCTCGAGCCCATCTGCCCAGGCATCTAGAGTAATTTGCGAGGACCTGTCCCAGACGCCACTTGGTTGTGCGAGAAATGTGGTTAGAACGCTAAGTCCTGGCGGCGGGTGCTCCTCGAGCCCGTCGCTTCAGGCATCTAGAGTGAATTGCGAGGAGCGGTCTCACATGGCGCACTGCGATCCCCACCATGCACGTCTTTGGCGGACGGCCGTCAGAACGCAAAGTCCTGTGCATGGGTGCTCCTCGAGCCCATTGCCACAGGCTCGAGTAAGTTGCGAGGGGAAGGTCTCTGGCTCCGTGGCGTCCCTGGTTGCGAGGCGCTCTCGGCAGGGGTGCATTCTGTCGACGACTCCGCGCAAATCCGTGGCCGTCCTGTGCTTCGGTTTCCTTGGCTGGGCCTGCTCCGTGTGCGACGGGGGCCCTGAGTGCGACCCCGCCGACTCCTGTGGCCTTGGGTACTTCTCGAATGGCGACTCCCTCCCCACGTACCGCCCCCTCATGGCCGATTTCGGCGACGTCGGGCTCCCAGAGGGCGCCTCTCGCTCCGACGGCCTCGTCGACGACGGGCTCCTCTCCCCGTGAGTCCCCTGCGGGAAAAGGCATGTCACCGTCGACCTTCCTCCCTCCGTCCTTCGCTCCGCTGAGCTCGGCTCCTGCTGCTGCGTGCTCCTCCCCTGCTCCGCTCCTCGCTTCGCAATCATCGTCCGTCCCGCCTTCCGTTGGCGCCTGCGCGCCCCGTTCGAATGTAAGAGCCGCTCGCGACGTGGACTTCGCGGGCGGCACTGTTCCCACCGCGGCCCCGCCCGACGCCCCCTTGCACGTCGAGGCGCGCCCGAGCGGGGGGAAGCAGGAGCAGAGGATCCTCCTGGTACGCTGGGCTCCTCCTCCTCATCATCCTCCTCCTCCTCCTCATCCCGCCATCCCTTTTCCTTGAAGTGCCTCCTCCCTGCGGCCCCTCCGGGCGTGCCGGTAGGGCGGGCCTGGCAGCTGGCTTGGGACTTCCGTGCGTGATTCTGAAGCGATATACACAGCCGTGACAACAGTTTCTCCAATTCGCTATGAAGAAGATCTCTCCCATCCCGCTCAAGGTTCCTAACATGACATGATGCCGGGTCATTCGGCGGAGTAGTTTCCGATCCCGGAGACGTTAATAACTCTTTTACCCCAAAACGGGATCGGAAACTACTCCGCTCCGAGCCATATAAATGATCGAGCGGGATGCGATTGCGCGCGGAGTAGTTTTAGTAAAGCTACTCCGAACTACTCCGCACGAGCGCCTCATTTCAAAATGCAAATTGAAAGAAACTTTCGTCGCGGCGATGTATTGCGAAAACCGTTCAAGTGCCGTGCTCACCCCGCCATCCCTTTTCCTTGAAGTGCCTCCTCCCTGCGGCCCCTCCAGACGTGCCGGTAGGGCGGGCCTGGCAGTTGGCTCGGGACTTCTGTGCGTGATTCTGAAGCGGCATACGCGACAGCTCCCAGGATGAAGGGCGGGTCGTGTTCAAAGTGTGGCTCTTGCCGTAGCGCCGCGCGCAATCGTGCCAAAAGTCTGCAGCAGCTTCGAGGGATGGGTGGCGGGTGGTTTTCAAAATCTGGTTCTCGCCTTCGCGCCCTGCGCTTTTGTCCAAAAGTTGACGCAACAGTTTCAGTGATGGAGGGCGGCTCCGTTTCATCATGTGGTTCTCGCCTTAACGTCGCACGCATCTGTTTTGCAATCTTGAAACAGTTTGATGGGGTCGTTTGGCTGAAGTCCCAGGAGTGGTGTTCTGCCACGATTTAGGGTGTTCAGGACGCAGCAGTGACGCTTACTCGCGGTATCGAAGTCCCAGGAATTGTGTTCTGGCACGATTGAGGGTTCTCAGACGGTTGATTTTCAATGGGGCACCTCCCGTAATGAAATAGCTCGTTGCAGGGACTTTTGAAGAGGGCGCCTTGAGGTAGGGTTCGTCGATGTGTCTTGGGTGTGCACTGATCCTCCTCCTCCTGTCCTGCTCCTGCTCCTGCTCCTGCTCCTGCTCCTCCTCCTCCTCCTCCTCCTCCTCCTCCTCCTCCTCCTCCTCCTCCTCCTCCTATTCCTCCTCCTCCTATTCCTCCTCCTCCTCCTCCTCCTCCTCCTTCTCCTCCTCCTCTTCCCCTCCTCCCGGTCCCGCCTCGACCCTGCGCTCGTGACAAGCCTCGCCGTTGTCCCTGGACGGTCTCGGCGCCGGCCCCCGGGGCAATATTCGACACCTTCGTGGGCCTGCGGGGAGCAGCGCGCGGGTTGGCTCCTCCCGTGGGCAGGTCCACGCCAAGCTCGGGTCCATGACGAAGGACAGGGCCAGCTCCTCTCGGGGGGGAAAAGGAGCAGGGGGGGGGTGGGGCGGCAATGAACGAGGGGGGGGAGGGAGAGGAGTGCTCCTTTTGAGGGCCTTTTGGCCGCGGAGGGGGGGGGGGGGGGCAGTTCGGGAGCCCTGCAGGGCCTCCTTGGAAAGCTTTCCTGCACCCTTCGTTGGCCCCCCCACTGATCGCCAATGTCCACCCGAGAGGAGTAGGAGGATGAGGAGGAGGAGGAGGAGGAGGATCGAGGGAGCATCTTGGCGTTCGTTTCGGATTTCCTGGGGGGAGGGCCCTCGTCGCCCTGTCCAGATGTGCCTCGAAGTCCCGATCAGAATTCGAGAGCTCTCGACTCCAACATCGCAGTGATTTCGCACCGTGGGTAGTTGTTTCCTGTTGGCCCTTGCACCAGAAGCGGGCCCCTCTGGAGTCCCTGACATGGAAGCAGTCTCAGGACGCCTGAAGTGTGGGCCCCATTTTCGTTCAGGCTCAGTCCCTGGATACCTCCAGGACGCCATCCAGACTCGTTTCTGCAGATACGTCCAGCGGCGCCCCCCCCCCCCTGGAGGCCCTCAGAGGCGAGACTAGAAAAACATGTTCCTCTCCCTCCTCCTTGATTCACTTACGGCAACAAGGCCGAGGACGAGTAGGAGGAGGAAGAACGGCTTCCTGTATTTGTTCTCCTCTGGACTGTTGTCCTGTGTCAGGGTCCGCTATTGGAAATCCTGAGACTCTGCGCCCTGCTGTGCCGATCAAGATCATACTCGCCCTGCTGTGCTGATCAAGATCATACTTGTTGTAATGTCCTGTGTGCTCTTGTTCGGGCCTCGTTGGCGTGAGTGGCTAACTGCTTTCCCCCCCGGGCTTTCTTCGCACCCGGGAGCTGTCGTAGACCGCCTGACCTGACCTCCGCCTGCCCCCACTCAACTCCAAGGAGCTCGACGTCCTCGTGCGCCTGGAATCCCAGCTGGACGAGTCGATGGGCCGCATCGCACCGCAGGTGGGCGCATCCAGGGCGTCAAGCAGCGCTGCAGCCACTGGCAAACTGCGCAAGGCAACAAGCTGTCGCCGTGCTTCGAGGAATAGGAAAAGGAGGGGAAACATACGTTCTCCGAGGAGAGTCGCGTACAGCATATTTCCATGTGGGTATGCCTACTGTAAATAAATAACCCCCACCCACCCCCAGCCGGCGGGCGCCCAGTCCGCGACCATTCAGGGAAGCGGTGCTGCTACCCTCCTGGCTCGCTTTCCAGAGGCGGCCCAGAGAGGCCAAGGGGGTGCCAAGACGGGGCAAGAGGGTTTTAATCAGCCCCCCGAGACGGTCCAAGAACGCTCCAAGACGCCCAAGACGGCCCAAGATGCCCCAAAGAAGCCACAAGATCGCTGCAAGAGGACCACCCAGAGGGCTAACAACTCCAGAAATCATGGATTATCCTCTTGTTTGCGTACGCTTTTCGAGTTCTCGCGTTATGGGCTTCCGACGCCCCAAGATGGCCCAAGACCGCTCCAAGATGGTCCAACAAGGCCCCCAAGAGGGCCCCAAGACAGTCCAAGGGGGTCCCTACACGGCCCAAGAGGCGCCCAAGATCGCTCAAGAGGGCCCTAAGACAGTCCCAAGAGGGGCCCAAGAGGGGCCACAGAGGTTGAACACGAATCAACAATTCGAGCCTTCCGCTTCAAGATGCCCCCCTGAAGGCCCCAAGAGGCACCCAAAAGAGCCCAAGAGGCCTCCCAGAGACCCAGCGGTGCCCCCAAGAGGCCCAAAAAGAGGCCCCCACGCGGCCCCCGAGAGGCTTCCAAAATTGCCTCCAAGAGGCACCGGGGAGGCCTCCCACGGATTTCAAACGAACATCCAAGACGCACCTAACCCAAAACCCAGGCACAGTAGCGGGATGGGGGCCGAAGGCCACAAAACGTTCCAAGACGCCCAAGACGGCCTCCAGACGGCCCAAGAGGCCCCCAAGAAGCTCAACAGGCCTCCACGAGGTCTCCCAAGAGAGCTCGAAGAGGCCAACAAACATGCATCATCCTTCGGTTTGTGGCCATTTGCGGCGTTTCCGCCTGTTCCGCTTTCCGACGCTGCGAGTCGCCCCGAGAGGCCCCGAGGATCGCCCCAAGACGGCCCCAGCAGGCTTTAAGAGCGCCCCAAGGCGGCTCCCATGCGGCCAAGGAGACGTCCGAAACGGCACGAGAGGGCCCCCACCGCGCCCCAGAATCGGGAGCGTGAGCCGAGCACCCGAGAGCTTTTGCCCCAGGAGACCCCCAGGAGGCTTCCAGAGGCCCCCAAGAATCCCCGAAGGGACACACACATACTCCAAAAGAGGCCCCCAAGGGGCCTCCAGAGGTCCCCAAGAAGCCCCGAAAAGGCCCCTCCTCCTCCTCCTCCTCCTCCTCCTCCTCCTCCTCCTCCTCCTCCTCCTCCCCCTCCTCCTGGGACCTTCCTTCTACGGTCGTCTCCTCCTTTTTCTCCTCCTCCTCCTCCTCCCCCTCCTCCTCCTCCTCCTCCTCCTCCTCCTCCTCCTCCTCCTCCTCCTCCTCTCTTCCTCCTCCTCCTCCTCCTCCTCCTCCTTCCTCCTCCTCCTCCTCCTCCTCCTCCCCTCCTCCTCCTCCTCCTCCTTCTTCTTCTACTGGGACCTCCCTTCTACGGTCGTCTCCTCCTCTCCTCCTCCTCCTCTCCTCTCCTCCTCCTCCTCCTCCTCCTTCATCCTCCTCCTCCTCCTCCTCCTCCCCTCCTCCTCCTCCTCCTCCTCCTCTCTCTCTCCGACTCCTCCTCTTTTCCTCCTCCTCCTCCTCCTCCTCCTCCTCTCCTCCTCCTCCTCCTGGACCTCCTTCTGCGGTCGTCTCCTCCTCCTCCTCCTCCTCCTCCTCCTCCTCCTCCTCCTACTGGGACCTCCCTTCTGCGGTCGTCTCCTCCTCTCTCCTCCGACTCCTCTCCTCCTCCTCCTCCTCCTCCTCCTCCGACTCCGACTCCGACTCCGACTTCGACTCCGACTACGGCGGCTCCGGCTCCGGCTCCGACTCCTCCTCCTCCTCCTCCTCCTCCTCTTTCTCCTTCTCCTCCTCCTCCGACTCCGACTCCGACTCCGATTCCGGCTCCTCCTCCTCCTCCTCTCCTCCTCCTCCTCCTCCTCCTCCTCCTCTTCCCCCTCCTCCTTCTTCTACTGGGACCTCCCTTCTACGGCCGGTATCCTCGTCCTCCTCCTCCTCCTCCTCCTCCTCCTCCTCCTGGGCCCCAGGACCACGAGTTGCTCTTCTGCCAGAGGATGTCAGAGTATCGGTGTCGACGGTGCAATCGTGTCGCTCGGAGTGCGAGTACCCTCCAGACTCTTCGCTCGGGAGCTGATCGGGTATGTGCTCCCTCGCCTCTCGTCCAGAGCCTTGCCGACGACTTCTTTCTGCGGAGTTCTGAGGCGTGGCTGAGTGTTTCGGACTCTAGGGTCACGGCGGCCATCGAGGCGGCCGATAGGATGTTGGGGTCCACGTCTCGGCCTTTGGAGGCCTCCTCGGAGTTCCCCGCGGTCCCTCCTCAGCCGCTGGAGCAGGTGTCTGCTGCCAGCGGCTCGGCCGACGTTCCCCAACCTGTGCTTGCCGAATTCGCTGAATTGGGGCATGACGTTTTCTGTGTTAATTCCGTGTATTGCTGCCGCAAGTGCGGTGGCAATTTCAACGGGTCCGAGTCCTTCAGGTCCGCCCGCAAGCTGCGGGCGCGGTGCCAAGGTTTCTCGGAGAATCCAAAGATTAGGGCGAACCAGCTCACGGCGATCGACCGTATCACTCGTGGCCTGGAGCCCCGCCAGCGCGGGGCAGGAGCGGCGCGTTCTGGCCCGAACCCTGCCCCCTAGTGTTTCTTTTTGGACTTGGGCCTGGGAGGTTTTCTTGGGTGTGGTTTTCCTGAGGCGCCCCACCCTCTCCCAGGCTTCCGCCTTCCGCCACCCCTGTGGCTCTCAGGTCTCACACGCGGTTGGTGTTCGTCACTCGGACGCCTCTCCTGCGGCTCGCTCGCTCCTCCTCCTGGGGCCTCCCTTCTGCGGTCGTCTCCTCCTCCTCCTCCTCCTCCTCCTCCTCCTCCTCCTCCTCCTGCTTCTCGTCCTGCCAGGGCCCGGCATGCCGAAAGCACCCCTCCGCCGTACCACACCCTGGGGGGCGGACAGCCTCTGGGCCGCGCCCTCGGCTCGCGGCCTCTTCCCCGCCGCGCGCCGCCGCGCGCCCCTCGGAGAGGCCGCTCGGCGCCCCCCTCCGCGAGGTGGCGCTGGCCTCGCGCCAGGCGGAGGACCGTGCTGGAGAGGGACAGGACGATCGGGGGCCCCCAAGCGGGGGTGGGAGAACAAACATATTCGCGGCTCGCGGTTCGCGACTCCTCTTGCTCATCCTCCTCGTCCTCTTCTCCCCCAGGAGGGGGTGGGCGCGAACGCGAGAGTGCCCTCGCGCAGTGCGAAGCGCGGACGGCGCGACAGAGCTGCCCTCGCTTCGTGGGGCGTCGGATCCCTGGGGGGGACGAGCAGGGCGCCGATCCCCGGGGGCCCGCAAACGGGGTGGTGACCCCACCATGCGGTGAGTCGCTGGGGGTTCGGGCTCACCGCACGGTTTTGGGACTCGGGTCGTTCTCCGAGGACGTCTCGGGCGATTGGAGCCTCCAGGGTCCCAAAACCGCGCGCTGACGGACCGTGCGGTAAGGTCTTTGGGGGCTTTCGAGGTCATCGCACGGTCAGTCACCGCACCGTTTCGGGACTCCAAAGACGAGTGGATCGAACAATCACCGAGGGCGTTCCACTACTCGCGCAAAGTGCCTGCTCGCAAACGCCCAGAAAAAAAAACAGAGCTTCCTCCAGGGAACGGTTCGCAGCCCCTTGCGAGTAGCTACTTTGCGAGTAGTGGAACGCGCTCGTCGAAACAATGACACAAGCGTAATACATCGCAGGTCCGCGCGGAGTTCTCGGCGCCGACCCGAGAAATCCGCGCGGACCTCCGATTTATTATGCTTGTGCCGTTGTTTCGACGAGCGCGTTCCACGACTCGCAAAGTAGCTACTCGCAAGGGGCTGCGAGCCGTTCCCTGGAGGGTGGTCTGTTTTATGTCAGGCCTCGCTTCCCTAACAAGGACGACCGCGAGGCGGCGCAGGAGCTGGCCGAGCTGCGGGGCACCCGGCGCGCGCGCGCGAGCTGGGGGAGGGTGCGATTGCGAGAGGGTCGAGGAGGAGGAGGAGGAGGAGGAGGAGGAGGAGGAGGAGGAGGAGGAGGAGGAGGAGGAGGGGGAGGAGGAGGGAGGAGAGGAGGAGGAGGGAGGAGGAGGAGGAAGGAGGAGGAGGAGGAGGGGGTCCTTCCTCGGGGGCAACGTTGCAGGGGGCACGGGCCCAGCCGAGGTGCATCGGGCCCCGGGCGCCTCGCCCCATTCATCGCCCACGGGGGGGGGCCCGACAGCCCACCCTGCCCAGGACCGTGCGGCCGGTGCGGACTCTGGCCATCGTGGGCCCCTCGCCGATCCATCGGCGGGGTGCACCTCGCCGATTCCGGGCCGATGCTCCCCCCCCCCGCTGAGCTCGGGGGCCCCCAAACGGGGTGGTGACCACACCGCGTGGTGAGTCGGTGGGGGTTCGGGGTCACCGCACGGTTTTCGGGACTTGGGTCGTTCTCCGAGGACGCCTCGGGCGGTCGGGACCTCCAGGGTCCCCAAAGCCGTGTGGCGACGGACCGTGCGGTGAGGTCTTTGCGGAGTTCGAGGTCGCCGCCGGGTCTGCCACCACACGGTTTTGGGACACCCTTTGAGCCGGCCTTCCCCCCCCCCCCGGCAGCTGCCACCTCAGGTCCTCGTGCCAGCCCCGCCGCCTGCTGCCCGCCGCCCGCCGCCCATGCTGCTGCCAGCCGCCGGCCGCCTCGGCAGCCGGCCTTCCCCCCCGGCAGTTGCCCCATCAGGTCCTCGTGCCAGCCCCACCGCCCGCTGCCCGCCGCCCGCCGCCCCCGCTGCGGCCAGCCGCGGGCCGCCTCGGCCGCCGCCGCCGCCGCTGCAGGTCGAGGGGGGGGGGCCTCACACGGCGGAGTGGGGCGAGCCCCGCGGTGAGGGCGGGGCGGTCCCGACGCTTCGACGGAGCTCCAGGTAGGTCGAGGGGGAGGGCCTGGCGGCGGAGTTGGGCGAGCTTCGCGGTGAGGGCGGGGCGGTCCCGACGCTTCGACGGGGCTCCAGGTGATCCAGCGTGCCGTGGCCCTCCCCATCCCACAGCTGAGCCCTGCAGGCCCTTCCGTGGAGCCGCGCAGCTGCTTTCGCCCGTCGCCGTGGTAGAGAGTCCGGCGTGCGTGGTTGACGAGGAGGCTCGCGCAAGAGGTGGTGCCTCATTTGTCTGCTCTCTCCCCATCGGGGGAGGATCTCACTTGCATCTCCTGGGCCGTCAGCTCGGCACGGCTTATCTTTCGCACGTGGGGTCTGGGACGGGTGATGGCTTAGGCTGTCGCGGCGTCTTTGTAGCATACCAAAGGGGGAGCCGCATCGTTCACGGACGGGCTCTTGCAGCGCGGAGGCGTCGACATGGCGGTCAAGCCGGGCAGGGATGGAGCCCGTTGTTTCCAAGAGTCGCCGCGCGGACGTGCCCTCGTCATGGTTGGCGACTGCAGCAGGCACGGTAGCAGGCACGGTGGCAGCGACTCCTGCGAAAACCTGTTTGACCCTTCTTTCTACGCGCGCGCTATGACGGATCGTCGCCAGGCTGCAATGGCCTTGATTGTTTTGTTCGCGGCAGTTGCACCACGCTTGCGGGCATTTGCTGACTTCGCCGAGCTTGTCGACCGATGCTTTTGTGAGCAGTCTGCTCGCTTCCAGGGCGGCCAGGAATCGGCTGCATCCTCTGGGAAGCAGGCAGTCTCTGTTGATGCTTTTATGTAGCAGATTCGAGCAGATGAGGTTTCTTTTTGGAAGACGACCGTAGCACTGATTTCGCGCGATGGTATGCCCTCGAGGAGTGCCCGTCATCGGCCGATGACCCATTTGTCGTCCCTGTCTCGCGCGCTGGACGCCGGAACGTGCGGAACACTGCTGTCAGCGATCGCGCGCACCATTCATTGCGTTGATGCGTTACGGCCGCCATTCAGCTGCTAGTCACGACCGCGCTGGCCACGCTGGTCGCACAGTGCCTCCTGACTCATGACTGCCACTGCGAAATTTTAGCATACCTCGTCGATTCGTTGAGAGCAGCCGAGCAGCCGAGCAGGAATAGCTAACCGTCCAGGTAGGCTCAGGGGATCGAAGACACGCACCATGGTCTGGCATCTATACTGGCTGTTATGTGTCGCTTTGAATGGCAGTGTATCCCAACTATGTGGCCGTTGCGATGCGCGCTCACTGGGAGGCTGCTTTCATTGGGATGCCGTCCGCACCTGGAGGCATTCGCGCATATGTTTTCGAGTGGCAGCTTGCCTGAACGGTCTTTGCTTTCACCTTCGATTTCCCCCACTCTGGCCCTCAGCAAGTGTATCCATTAGAGCTGGCCAGGAATACTGCGCTTGGCCACGACGGCCTCCCTTACCCGGTTTGGGGGGTTGCTACTTCAGGGTTGAGGGCCATGCGAGGGTTTCTCGTAAAGCTTCTCGCCCGTGAGTCGCGCCGCCGTTCGACGTTCGATTGTGCCTTTTTGAAGCTTGGTTTCCCGTTCAAAGAAGGACTCGCCCCCAGATTCGAGTGGATGCGGACATGTTCCACGCAAGACGCGCCCTCTCGAGACTGAAGAACAGCCACGCCGAACTTTCCGCCACTCCTCTCGATATCCCCACGCAGCCAGTCGTCTCCGTGAGGCGTGCATGGTGCGCCGACGAAATCATACTCGTTAATGCAGCGCGTCGCGCCCTGTGCTGACATACCTCGGCTGTCTCATATGCTGCTCCACCGACCACTCGCTGTGCGATGCATCAGCCCGTGCTAGCTGCGTCCACCCTCGGCATTCGAATCTCACCCGTCTCCAGGATGTGGATGTTCGAGTTTCTCCACCATTTCTTCCCTGATTCGATTATGGCTCGGCTGTCGAGTCGGTTCACGAGGACGCCGGGGGCTTGCTCCAAGATTGCGTTCGAGAATGGATGCATCTGGTGGATGGCGGGTTGGTGCATACGGTCAGAAGGTGCCTAACCCCAGAAGTTTTTTGATTGGTAGATCTCGAGGCGCTTCAAGACGTTTAGGTTGGTTTCAGGATGTGCCCCCCTGACTGTTTTGTTCTCTCCGCGGATAGCGCTCGCGGCAGCCTCCCCGATTACGGAGGAAAGCGTGCCGAAGAGCACGGATGACACGCTGCACTCGCGGCCCCATTGTTCACACGAATTGCCCAGCACCACCGCGTCCCCGCTTGGCGGAAACCAAGACGAGAGGGATCCATGTGATGTTTGGCCAGGGGCGATCAAGATCCGCGAGCAGGTCACAACGAAGGTAAACGGTACCGGACTGAGTCCATTGCTGCGGCAGCCGGCGGTGACGTGGCACGACAGGCTGCCGACGGCTGCCGCTACGCACTCCGCGCTCGCCACAGTCCAGTCTGCTTGGGATCAGGGGGGCGCCTCGTGGCTTGGCATCCTTGGATTTCGCGACGTGGGCAGCGGCAGAGTAATTGTTCGATCAGGCACAGTAGTCATTCGCGCCGTGCCCACTCTTGCCGAGCCCGTTCGAAACTGAACCGAACAATTGCCTGGAGTTGAGCTTCAGTAGACTGTCGGATCGTCCCACTTCCAGGCCTTTGGCGGAGAAGTCTGTTTCGAGTCCTCGTTCCGTCCTGGTCGCCCGGTCGCCCCCCCCCACCCCCCCCTCCCACCCCGTATAGCCCTCGTAGCCCTCACCCAGGTCTTGCGCCTCCCCCCCCCCGCTGTGATACCCAGGTCTTGTGCATTACTTCCTTGCCCAGGTCCTGTGCCTTGCCCAGGTCTTGCAACCCCGCCCTTCGCTCCTCCAGCTATTATATGCGGTGGCCGGTCGCACCGCGCCGCGTGGCTGGCCGGGCCGTTGCCCCCTCGCGGCCACGTCACGGCTCGGGTCGCGCTCCCGCCGCCTGGGGATCCTCATTGGCCACCTCGCCCAGCACCGCCACTGCCTATGAGGAAGATCCTGCAGGCCTTGCGCGGCGCGCAGTAGTAGTGTTATCTAGTCCACACGTCAGCTCCTTCAGCCACGAGTCGACGCTCGCGCGGCGGTGTTCCGGAGTCAGTGCGACGTACGTTCGACGTAATGCCGACGTAGTCCGACGTGAACCCCACGTGAATCCGACGTGGATCCGACGTAAAACGGGTCTCAAGTTGCCGCGCGAGGCCTCTCGTGCCTTGAGGTCCCCCCACCCCGCCGCGCAGCGTCCGCCGATCGTCGTTGCTCGGCGGCAGGGCCCTCTTGCTGTCTCGGTTTGGGGCTGCCTCGCCTCCGCGCTGTGCTGTGCCGAGCAGCGCACCCGCCGCTCAACAGCGTGCGCGGGACGGACAGCTCAGCGCAAGCGGCACGAGGAGGAGGAGGAGGAGGAGGAGGAGGAGGAGGAATAGGGGGAGGAATAGAGGGAGGAATAGGGGGTGGAGGAGGAGGAGGAGGAGGAGGAGGAGGAGGAGGAGGAGGAGGAGGAGGAGGAATAGGAGGAGGAGGAGGAGGAGGAGGAGGAGGAGGAGGAGGAGGAGGAGGAGGAGGAGGAGGAGGAGGAGGAGACGGGCAGCGGACAGTCAGGCGTGCCAGATTGTGCGGTCGGTCGGCCCCTTCGGCGAACAGGAGCAGACATGAGGATGAAGTGGTGGGCGGAGAGGGCCGGGGCGGTCGGGCGTGCGGTTGGGCATGTTATGGGCGTTGCGTTTTTTCGTGCCGCCCCGGATCCTGACCCCTGGACGTCCTTGGCGAGGCCTCCAGCGGCTTCAGGAAGCCCCAGAAGGGCTAGAAACGCGCAAGCATTGGCCCCAAACGCCTGAGAACCGACCTCCCCGATCCTCGAGTCGAGGGCGCCATACATCCTCGGATATGTTTTTTCGCGGATGCCCCGCGCGTGACGTATCCGTGCGGTCCGTGCGACCGCGTATCCGCGGGATCGCGCCTTGGAGTCCAGACCGCGAGGGCACAGACACGGATGTGTTCGCCGCACGTGACGATCCTCGAGGGGCGAGGGCGCACTTTGGCATATGATGTGCCAACCTTCTTTCAGCTTTGACCACTAGAACTAATGAAAGAACTTCGAGCACCAATGACATCTCGAACACTTCACGGTTTTCACGTGTCGGGCCCTCGGAGGCGATATGTTCGTTCGGCACCTCGCCAGCGTGTCGGGCAGACACTGTATCGGTACCTCTCGGGGTGCTCGAAATTACCTATGGGACATGGCCCTTCAGCACGATGGGAACAACACACAAACTCTGGCAGTGTGGAGGAGGAGGAGGACGAGGAGGACGAGGAGGAGGAGGAGGAGGAGGAGGAGGAGGAGGAGGAGGAGGAGGAGGATTTTTGAACCGAGCGCTCAACCGATCTGCAGGGGGAGAGGAGGGGGGAGGGGGCGGGGCTCCTCCTCTCGCCCAGCCTTGGCCTTGGCGTTGGAAGGCCTTGCCACGTCGCGCTCGCTCCTGGGACGAGGCCCTGCTCCGGCCTCTTCAGTCAGATTCTCGGCTCCCAGGGCGCCGCACGTCGTGCACGCCTCCTCCTCCTCCTCCTCCTCCTCCTCCTCCTCCTCCTCCTCGTCCTCCTCGTCTTCGTCGTCCTCCCTCCTCCTCCTCCTTCTCCTTCTCCTCCTCCTCTTCCTCCTCCTCCTCCTCCTCCTCCTGCTCATGCGAGGGATGGACGGTCTGATTCCAAAGCTGGAGCTGAGCAGGGCGGGAGGAGGAGATGGGGCAGCAGCAGAGTCGATTGGCACGCCCGGGGTCGAAGAAGCCTCTCTCTATCACCCCCTCTCCTTAGAGGGCGTCTGGTGGCACAGCCTGCAACTGAACGGAGATGGAGGAGGAGGAGGAGGAGGAGGAGGAGGAGGAAAAGGAGGAGAGAGGAGGAGGAGGAGGAGGAGGGGAAGGAGGACGAGGGGGAGGAGGAGAAGGAGGGGGAGGAGGAGGCGGAGGAGGAGGAGCAGGAGGAGGAGGAGGCGGAGGAGGAGGAGCAGCAGGAGGAGCAGGATGAGGAGGAGGATGCGGAGGAGGAGGAGCAGCAGGAGGAGCTCGGGGGTGGCCCCGCCGAGGCTCGGCGTGGTGCAGCGGCAGCTGGTGCAGCGCCAGGCGGGGAGGCACTCGAAGCTGGCCGAGGACCTGCAGCAGCTGGGCCTCCTGCCCGAGTCCCAGTGGCTGATGCAGCGCCTCGCCGGGGAGGCGGAGGAGCCTCAGGAGGGTAATAAGCACGCAGACACAAGTGATCGTCGACTCCCTGGAAAACAGCGGAAAGTATGGACAACTGGGGGGAGACAAAACCCCAGGGAATGTTTGAAAATGCGTATGTAGCATCATGGGGTCTGTGTTTCTTTATTTGTGTGTCGTTGAGCCCCTTCAGAGCCGCGGGCGGTCCACGCGCCCCAGGGCCGACCGGCCGTCGGGCTCCGGGGGGGGGCAATCTCCCCAGACCCCCTCGGGTCACCAATAAACTTATGTTCGTTATGCTCCGCATCTGCTCGCTATTGTTCGGCCTCTTGTTCAGCTTATGCTCGGCATATGTTCAGCTTATTTTCAGCCGATGCTCAGCCTATAACGACGGAAGGCGTTTCTCAATGTTCAGCCTGCCGGGGCCCTCACCTGGGACTCGGGACCGTCAAAGAACAGCGCGGGATGAAGACGAGCCCCGTCTCGCCCCCCGTCTCGGGCCCCGCGGGAGCCTCGCAGCTCGAGCCTGCTCGGGACATGCCGCAGAAGGATGGTGTCTGGGGCTCCGGCCGTGACGTTCTGCGATCCCTGAGTCACCAGGACTGGGGGCGGAGGGGTTAGTGAGCTACTACAGATGCGCGCCTCGGGGGCCCAAGCCTCGGATTCCTGAATGAATTCTAGACGCTTCGCGTATCCCCACCAGCCCGTCCAGAAATGAGCCCCAGAGGAGTGGAGGTGATGAGGGAAGCGGGGGAGCATGCAGAAGAACAAAGAGCGGGTTAAGCCGCCATACGTTCCAAGAGGGGGAGGATGTAGGAGGAGTCGTCGTCGTCGGAGTAGGAGGAGGAAGACGAGGAGCAGGAGGAGGAGCAGGAGGAGGAGGGGGAGGAGGAAGAGGAGGAGGAGGAGGAGGAAGATGAGGAGGAGGAGATGGAGGAGGGCGAGGACGAGGAGGACGAGAAGGAGGAGGAGGAGGAGGACAAGGAGGAGGAGGAGGAGGGGGAGGGGGAGGAAGGAGGAGGGAGAAAAAGAGGAGGAGGAGGAGGACAATGGCGAGCTTGGGGGCCTCTTGGGCCGTCTTTGGGGCCTCTTGGCGGTCCCGGGGGCCTCTTGCGTATCTCGGGGAGCTTCTTGTGTCCTTTTGGGAGTCTCTTGGAGGCCTCTTGGAGGCCTCTTGGGGGCCTCTTGGGGCCTCTTGGGGCCCTCTTGGGGCGCTCTTGGGGCGCTCTTGGGAGCCTTCGGGGCGCTCTTGGGGCCATCTTGGAGGAGATCTATCAAGAAGGGGGGGTTGCTTATTAGCGTTGCCCCTCTAGAGTGCCTCGAATCGCCTCTTGGGCCTTCCTAGAGGCCAAAATCCGTCCAAAACCTAAGGAAAATCAATGTTTTTTGCTTTCTCGCCTTTTCGCTCTTGGAGCCGTCTTGGGCCATCTTGGGAGCATCTTGGGGCCTCTTGGGGGTCTCTTGGGAGCCTCTTGGGGGCATCTTGGGGGCCTCTTGGGGCCTCTTGGGGCCCTCTTGGGGCGCTCTTGGGGCGCTCTTGGGGCGCTCTTGGGAGCCTTCGGGGCGCTCTTGGGGCCATCTTGGAGGAGATCGATCAAAGAAGGGAGGGTCGTATATTAGCGCTGCCCCTCTAGAGTGCCTCGAGTCGCCTCTTGGGCCCCCCAAGAGGCCAAAATCCTTCCAAAACCTAGGTAAAATCAATGTTTTTTGCTTTCTCGCCTTTTCGCTCTTGGAGCCGTCTTGGGCCATCTTGGACTCTCTTGGGGCCTCTTGGGGGTCTCTTGGCAGCCTCTTAGAGGCTTCTTGGGGGCCTCTTGGGGTCTCTTGGGGCGCTCTTGGGGCGCTCTTGGGGCGCTCTTGGGAGCCTTCGGGGCGCACTTGGGGCCATCTTGGAGGAGATCTATCAAAGAAGGGGGGAGCCTCAATTACTCTCGCCCCTCTAGAGTGCCTCGGATCGCCTCTTGGGCCCCCCCAAGAGGCCAAAATCCTTCCAAAACCTAAGGAAAATCAATGTTTTGTGTTTTCTCGCCTTTTCGCTCTTGGAGCAGTCTTGGGCCATCTTGGGCGTCCCAACGCGTCGCGGAACGCCCCGTCCAGGTCAGTGGGGAGGGGTAAGGGGAGGGGTAAACCCCTCCCCGAAGGGAAAGAAGGGGGGTTGGCAGAGGAAACTCTCTAGACCACCTACGCCCTAAAGGGCTGGTGGGATTGCTTGGCGCTTGGAACTTTTACTTCTAACGCTGAACGTAGTTAACGGCCGTTAGTTAAGAGCGAGCGTGCGTGTCAGACTTCCCACCTCTCTCTTCCCTCTTCTCCTGTCCTTCGCGTGCTGCCCGCGCCCGTCACTGAGAAGTTCATTCCGGCCGCCTTCTTGCAAAAAAGTGCGGCGGGGCGGCGTGCGTGAAGGGACGAAGGTACCACCACGTTGTGGCCAAAGGTACCGCGGCAAAAGGTGCTTCTCTTCCCCCCCCCTTCCGCAAGGAGAGGGAGAGGGAGGAGGAGGAGGAGGCGGAGGAGGAGGAGGAGGAGGACGAGGAGGAGGAGGCGGAGGAGGAGGAGGAGGCGGAGGAGGCCCCCCCCCCCGTTCCACCGGCATCTGGCGACCCCTTTTGTCACACAGGAGGGCGCAGCGCCGCCCACCGAGAGCACCCTGGCCCTGCTCAGCTCCCTGAAGGCCAGGGCGGACGGCGGCGAGGAGCTCGCGGCGCCTGCTGCAAGGCAGCAGTCCCCAGCCCGCCTCCTCCTCCTCGTTCTCCTCCTCCTCGTCCTTCTCCTCCTCGTCCTCGTCCTCCTCCTCCTCCTCCTCCTCCTCCTCCTCCTCCTCCTCCTGCTCCTTCTTATCCCCATCGCGCCCGCTGATTGCAGTCGTCTGCAGCTTCTCGGCCCGATAGCTGCCCCGCTCGCCCCCCACGCCCCTCCCCGCGCGCGCGCGGCCGGGGCGCCAGGGGCCCGCGGGGCCATCGCCGTTCAGGTTTCCTCGACACCTACGCGGCGATCGTCGACTCCGGGTTCGCCACCCCGCGCTGGCCCAAGTCGGTCGGGCCGGCGCCTGTGGCCCGTACGACGAGAGCGAGCGTCGGGGCCGACCGTCCGTTCTGAGCGGTGGTCGGTCGGGCAGGCGCGCCTTTCGGCACCCTGCCTGCCGTGGCCACTGGGCCTTGCTAGCACCGTCGCTGCTCGCTCTTCGGCGGGCGGTGCGGACAGGGCCCATGCCACGTCCTGCCGTTGGCAGGTCTCTCCAGCCTGCACCAGTCTGGTGGTCTTCGGCGCTCTCCACGCCGACTTCGGCGCAAAACTCCTCTCCCTCCTCCTTCGCCTTCTCCCCCTTGGCCTTTGGGGCGGCGGAGCAGGAGGCCCATCTGAGGAGAGGAGTAGGAGGGGGGCCTCACACGCCGCAGCGCCACGCCTTGCGCCGTGGCGCAGCGCCAGCCCTCGTCTCGGGCGTTCAAAGTGCCGCCGCGCCTGGGGTCTCAGCCGCCGCTTCTACGCAAGACTTTCAGCCGCCGCGACAGAGACGCCCGACGGAGGGCACAGTGGCCAAAGGCGCTCCGACGCGCCGCCCAAGGGCTTCAGCCGCCGCGCAAGCCATGCCCGCCATTCCTGCTGCCAGCGAACCCAATGCCAGCGTGTTCAACGCCGAAGCACCAGAGGGGTGCCCTGCGAAGATAACTGCGCTCTTGGGAAGGGAAGTGGTGGACGAGGATCTCTCTTACCTCCCCCCAACTCCTTCTCCTTGCCTCTACTCCGCCACCTGGCTCACCTGTGCCGCTAGGCATGGCGACCACTTTGTGGGCCCCGCCTGCTCCACCGTGGGCGGGGGAGCGTCACTCGCGGGGCACACGGGCTTTGCCGCCGCCTCGGTTTCCTGGCCTTCGGCTGGAGGCATCGCCGCGGCCACTTCTGCCGACGATGCTGCTCGGACCGCCGGGGGCGGATACATTCGCGCACCTCCAGGCTTGGACCCGCTGCCTCCTGGGCCTCCGGTCAGGCAGATTGGGCCGCCTCCGGGCCTTGACGTCTTGGAGGTTGGTTCCCAGAGGCTCAGTGCGGCATGCCCGCGCCGTGGCGCGGCTGCGGCTTGGAGCCCCACGGTCGTCTATCAGGTCCGACCTGGGGCCACGGCGTCAGAGGCCGCGCTTCCTCTACTGAGGACGCCGCCTCCGCCGCCACAGGGTCGCCCCTGGAGCGGTGCGTTGGCCCTGGTGGAGGCGGGGTGCTCCGTCGTCCCTCCTCGGGGTTCTTCGGCGGCCATGTCCGACTGCGGCCTTGACGGGGGTAGTCCCTCCTTTTCGAGGGCGGCGCCGCGGTGTGGCTCGAAAGGGGTTGGTATGCGCCCTGCCAGCGATGCTGATACGGCCCCGCAGGGAGGGGCTCGTACCGCCCCCCCAGCCGCCACCGCAGTCCACCAGCCTGGCACCCCGCCGCGGAGCGGCCCCAGGGCCACCTCGGCCTTACGCGCCGACCTCCACTTGTGGGACCTGCACACGGGCTCCGACACTCAGGGTGTGGATCCGCCGCCAGGCCTCTCCGGCTCCGAAGCAGGCTCACGGGTGCCGCCTTTGGTCGACCTCCGCGCGGCCCTTGCCTCGGATGGGGTGCAGCTGTTTAGCAGCGGGAGTATGCCGTGCACTGCGGCGTCGCCACTTCTGTCCGAGCGCTTCACGGTCGCCGACGGTGACCGCGCGGCCAGCGGAACACCCCTGAGCGCGGACTGGCATCGTGTCTCCGGGGATTCGCCCTCCCAGGCCAGGCATCTGAGGCCACCGTCCGGAGTTGCCGTCCCAGAAGCGGATGTTCATGCGCCGCCGCCGCTCCACCGTAGCGCGGTTGGTCCCGCCTCACTTCGGGCGGGCGCTGCCCGTGGGCGCATGTGGTATGGTGAGCGCGCAGGGCTCCTGCCTTTCACTAACCTCGAGGGCGGTGTCGGCGCGCCAGCTGCCGGAGGGCCACCTCCCCAGTCAAGCGCCCGGGGCGCTTGCACTTGTAACGCAGCGGGCACTCAAGCAGCGGAGTCAACTCCAGGCCTCGTCGGCTCCGCCGCGGGCTCCTCGGGTGAAGGCGTCGCCGCAGCCGCAGCCACGCCTCTCATCGCCAGCGCCGCGTCCCCTGCTCGCTCTCGCCTGCGATCGGATCCAGGGCCTCGCCGCGTCGATCCCTGCTCGCGCTCGCGAGCGCCTGCTGGCCGACCCTCGTGGTCTGAGCTCTTCTCCGTCACCACTGGTAGGCATGCGCCCTTCCAGCGATGCTGTTACGGCCCCGCAGGGAGGGGTTCGTGCCGCCGGTGGGAAGTCAGGAGCGGGCTCGTCCACGGCGGCCGCGACGCCCCGGGATGCGGTCCCTGCGTTCTGCTCTGTCCGAGGGGCCGCTTTCGCCACGGGCTCCTCGGGCGAATGCGCCGCCGCAGCCGTTGCCACTCCAGCGCGGCCCCGACGCCTCTCGTGCGATCGGATCCAGGGCCTCGCCGCGTCGATCCCTGCTCGCGCTCGCGAGCGCCTGCGGGCCGACCCTCGTGGTCTGAGCCCTTCTCCGTCCCCACTGGTCGGCATGCGCCCCTCCAGCGATGCTGTTACGGCCCCGCAGGGAGGGGTTCGTGCCGCCGGTGGGACGTCAGGAGCGGGCTCGTCCGCGGCGGCCGCGACTCCCCGGGATGCGGTCCCTGCGTTCCGCTCTGTCCGAGGGGCCGCTTTCGCCGCGGGCTCCTCGGATGAAGGCGTCGCCGCAGTCACTGCCACTCCAGCGCGGCCCCGACGCCGCTCGGCCTCCACCAACAGCGCTGCCGCACTCCCCGCCTTCAGGCTCCGACGAGTTCGTCGGGTCCGCACTCGGCGTGGAGGACGGCGGGGTCGTCGGGCCGTCGATGGTAGCTGCCGTGCCGCTCACGCTCCAGCCCATGCTGGTGCAGCTGCCTCGTCTTCGGACGCCCTTTCTGGTGCTTCAGAGGCCGCTTCTGGGGCCCCTGTCCAAGGGAGCCGCCGCTCGCGCTTCAATCGGAGCGTGCGCGAGGAAGCGGCAGCAATGTTGCGCTTCGGAAGTGCACCGCCCGTTGTCGTGCCTCCTGCGGCTGGAGCCCCGCCACGGTTTTCAGCTTCAGCCGAAGCTGCGGGGGCCCCGTCGGTAGGCATGTGCTCTGCCGGCGATGCTGGTGCGGCCCCGCAGGAAGGGGCTCGTGCCGCCGACGGGGTCACCGCGGAGGGGGGTGCACGCGCCGCCCAGGCCAGCGGCTACCAAGGCGGAGCCCCCGACGAGCCTCCTCGGCTCCAAGCTGTCGGTGGCCCTGCCATGGACCAAGAGGGCTCCGGGCAGCCCCGAGCCGGCCCCGCCGACCAAGGTGCCTCTTACCCCCAATCTGTTGGAGCCGCCCACGTCGGGCGGGTCGAACGGGGTGCTGGATGTGCTCGGCCGCCGCCGCCGGGGAGGTCTCATCCCGCGGCCGCCGCCCGCCGCTTCTGGACCGAGCGAGGTCGCGATGGTAGGGATGCGCAGGTGCAGCGCGGCTGTTTCGGCGCCGCTGGGCCCCGTGCGTGCCGCCATGGTGATTCTCGCTCGCTCCCAGGCGCTTCCCCCGCTCCTCCTGGCCATCCTGGTCCCAGCGTGGGCGTCGGGGCGCGCCCTGCGCCCTTCGCGCCTTGCCCTTTTCCCAGCACATCCCGTACCAGCACTGGCACTGGCAGGTCTGCGCCTTTCGTGGCCGATCTGTCCGCCTTGCTGCGCCTGTTTCCAGGCGCCAGCATCGACGTCACCCACTGGGCCGCTGCTCTTGCCCAGGTCGGGATGGGGACTCGATGCTCCCTTGCCGCATTTACCCGCGCATCTTTCTGCGCGCTGGAATGGGACGACTCGTACTTGTCGGGGTCGGCTCCCCGCGATCCTTGGCCGTGCCCTCCCTCGCCGCCTCTTCCGCCGCCACCTGGTCACCTTACGGGTCGCGCGCGGGAGCGCTGGCGTGTGAGGCGCGCCGCCCGCACGTTGTCGCAGCATGCTGTCGTTGCGCTCAACTGGCTCACCTTGGGTCATCCCAGCTTCGCTCCCGCCGAAGCTCGGGTGCGGGAAACGGTCACACCCTGCCAGGAGGGAGTTCGCAGTCGCCTCGAGCGTCTGTGTCGGATCGCAGTTCGCCTTGCCCGTGGTGGCAAGAGCGACCTTGGTCGGGCTTTCGCCAAGTTCGACTCCACCGAAGTCTCGCTCCATGGCCTGGCTACCCATGTTGCAGCTCTTGAGGCTTCGTTCACCTCTTCCTCACAAGTGCCCGCCCCCATGCGGCAACTCCCCGTCAGCGCGACGCCCCTGGCAAGCTCGTTGGCGGCCGCGGCAGGCTGGGACTCCACCCAGGCTGAGCCTTTCGACCTTCGGGTCCAGGCGTCCCGCATCAAGTGGGATTACTCTCCTACGTTTGATCCCACTCCGTACTTGTCCGACGATCTGGTACGTTCCGCCTTTCATGACCCCGACGTCATGCGGCTACCAGAGGACGAGTGGCCTTCGGGCTTTTCGGGTGCTCGTGTGCACATGGACCGCGAGCAGCTGTGGGAGCTCTTGCGCAAGTGGGACTCTTGTGGCGCCCTGTATCTGACCCCCTCCGACAACCTCGCCTGGGACGAGGCTTGTGGAGCGTTCAGGGTCCCGAAGGACGAGGCTCATGACCGTCTCATCCTGAATCCGACGGTAGTAAACAGTCGTTGCAGCAGCGTGTCCTCCAGCACTCAGCGCCTCGGCCAGGG